GGAAAAATTGCAATATAGTATCTGATGTCTTTGCAGTATCTCTTAAACTAACTGCAATATGGCCTAACATCACTATAGTATTGGCTTGTATTAACGATGAATCACTGAAATGGTAATTTATGATAATTAATGACTACATTTAAAAAAAATTGTTTAATAAGTATTACTTTTTAGATTTTTCAGCAGTATATAATCGATTAGATAAGGATGCTAAAAGTGCTGGTACACAAAATGGATCTAAAGTATATGCTGCTCTTAATGCAATACAAAGATTTTCAATTGATGAATTTCGAAGTCTTTCAAACTGTGATTCAACATGATCTGACGATATTGGTTTTACCTCATTAACACCATTAACTAAAAATATAAAACACAATGTCATAAGTGGAACTTATTACCACATGCTAAATTATTTAACATGTGATTCTTCAAGATTGAAATGTATGAAATAAGTAATAACAATCAAATTTATAATATTCATATTTAATAATGTTAAATAATAATAATTCAATTTTCTTTTTTCTCTTCACAAAAACGATTGTGCGTTTGTTAGTGTTCATTAATCAAGGGAACCAATCAATCAATTGATACCACATTTTGCATACATATTCCTTGAGACAAGAGGAGTATTTATAGCTTCATTTTTCAACTCATATAGGTTGCCATGGGGCATTCTGAACAGACTATAGTATACTCAAAAATGACTTGATCGATCTTAACAAAAATTTAAGATATTGTCCTTAGAAATATGTTCTGAAAGTGTAGAGAGTAGTTTAAATCATATTCAAAAATATACCAAGTGCAATAAACAGATTGCCCATCATGGTTTCAGGAGTTTACAAATCAAGGAACGACACTGATTGTCCCCATGAACCGGGACCACACTACAGTGTACACTATACCCATAGATTAATTAATAAAACTAGTGTTATCTAATCTATACAAAATTCAAGATAGATCAATAGATCTATACCACGGCTTTAGATAGATTCTATCTGTGATCTATACTAGATATAGTATGCTACATAGCGCATATTAAATATTTGTTCATTTTCCCCGAGCAAAATGTGGTTTTAGTGTTAAATACAATTAGTAAAAATGTACAACTATATCTTATGACAAACATTATGTCTCCATTTTTTTGAAATATCAGTTAGTTTAATTTAAGTATACACAAAATAAAACAATTTATTTAATATAAACATACATAGTGGCGTAAATTGACCTGTAGAAATAAAGCACTTGAACTAACTACATTTAAAGTGCAAACTTATCTTTTTGCACCACCAGAAAATTGTGAAAACATTAGGCACTTACCTATAAATTCTATACTTAAAAGTAAATATTTATATTTTAGGTTTAAACTGTAATTTGAGTTATGATATACAAAGTAGCCGACAGCCGTGTTGTCAAGTTTGTAATATCATGAATAAAATCCGCTAGTATTTTTTGACTATTGTGATTGCAGTCTGCTATGCTCACTAATTAAATGTATGTTAATTTGATCTATAAGTTACATATCAACCTATAATATCTCTACTACAGAGCAAAACAAGTTCCCTAATTTTTTTTTATTTGTATTAGAAATACAATCTAATTATGTTTTTATTTTAATTATTTATTATTGTATTCAAATTTAGCACATTATTACAGTATACTCATTGGATGAGGCACACATAGAATGTACTTCGGATTTTTAAATTTAATTTCAGATACTGTCAATATTTAGGATTCAGGAGGAAATAATTTAATTTTGAATTATAAGTTACTAGTCACTTTAACTTAACATGATATTACAAAATGATTCCAGCACCATAGGTATCAGTCAGTAATTAGTATACAAATTATATAGTACTTTTCTTACCTGTGATTGTTAATCCTTTGGGTGTTTGTTTTTCAGAGTGAAATTTATTTAATTTTGATAAAATTGGTGATGGTTGAACAAGAAAATCACGGAGACATTGAATGCAGGTACTGGCTATACTTGGAAATTTTTCAGATAATTTACCTAAACCCTGTAAAAAATATATTTACAAAATTATAAGTATCCAATATTAATTTTACTTAAGTTAATTTAAACTGATTTTGTTTAACACATTAAATTTAATTTACTATATGTACAAAGTATGCTTCTATTAAAATAAAAGATCAATAAATACCTCCATACAAACTAGAATCAATGGCATATGTGCTAATGCTTGTTTTACATTATTACTTGAGTTAATTTTTTCCATTAAACGACCACATAAATTATCAGCACCTATAAATGAATGATATATATTTTTATAAACAATAAACAGATTCAGTTTAGTATCAGTGGCATTTTGAATATTACAAATCGAACTTTAATTAGATAAAATAACTAATTTAAGTAATCAATAGACATTATCAATTAAGTTATTTAATAAATAAAAAGTATAATTTCTTTAAAAGCCAGAGATTCTAAATTATGGGAAACATTTGGGTAATACTAATAATAATATTATATTAAGCGATAGATATTTCACATAGTTAATTTATTTATTTTATTATCATTAATATTTCTACTTTATTCAATCATAAGTTATTCATTTTAAAAACTTACCAGCTTCATCCCTTGTAGCCCAAACCAATAAATCCACACAAGCCGCATTAGCTAAAACATTTATTTTAAATTTATTTATTGTAGTTGAATGTGATTCTTTATCGTCACGCTCAGATGTTTCTTGTAATGCACCAGACTGTAACTCAGTTTGACCATTCAAGAATAGATCTTTTATAAATTCTTGAACGTCTTTAGTAAATGGTAATGGTAAATCTAGAACAAATATTCATTTGAATTATAGTTTAAAAAAATGTACAATAAAATAGTAAATTATCAATGTGTGTTACCTTGTTGATATTGAAGTAATTCTCTCAATAATGAAGCAATGACTAAGTTTAATATTTCACTAAAACTTCGATAACAAAATGTTTTACTTTCTCCAGATATATGAAATTCAAGAGCTAAACTATCCACAAACCCCAAAACATCAGAGGTAAGAATTTTTTTCGCAATCGATAAAACAGTCTATAAACAATTTTTGACAATGAAGACAACAAAAAGCATAAACATAAAGCAATAAACATTTTCTTATCCTTAATATTAGCTCACTTGTAGATGACCCAAGGGAAACATTAACGTTGATGATTTGTGATCAATAGATGAGTCAGTGAATCTTGTGTATGGAAATTGGTTAAAACTTGATCCGTATTTAAAGAAAAAGTAATTAGACATATTGTTTGGCGCTTGGGAACCCAGTTTGCATTCTGATTTGTATATCATTCTATTACTATATACCAAAAAAAATAAATGACAAACTTATCATTAAAAATAATCTGATACATTTCAATATGGAATTATTTACTTGAGATCGTTCATTGGATCCAGCGAACTTAATGTCATTACGTCTAGTGAAGCTAAATTTAAATTTAAAGATAACGATCGAGGAATGATAGAGCTGAAATAAAAATATTTTTACTAGACATATTAATTATATTTAACAATAAATAGATTTATGCAAGAATATTACCGAAAATTTGAGAAACTTTTCTTTTTTTGTATGTTTAAATCAGGAATAGGGACTGGAGTTTGCTGAATTGGAGCACTGGGTTTTGGAAATAAACGACATAAAAGAGGAGGGTCACTCAGGGTTGCTCGTCCCATTGACCTAGCCAAGCCGATGAAACATGGAATGGTAGCTTTGCATAATGTATCTAAAAATTATGACCATGTTTTAATATTTATTAAATTCTATACAGTAATTTATAATAAATCTTTAATCATTGGTGATATTTTATGCAATTTATAATTTAAATGTGTTGAAGTTTACAACATTTAGAAACTTTCTACACATTCTAATAAATTATAATTAATCTAATAAAAACATACTTTTAGTTACATCATTTAACTTGTCAGATTTAGCCGATCTAATAATATTAGACAGTTTACTGAGACATTTTATTTGTGCTTCAATTATTTTTTCTCTGGAAACTGGATAACGAGTTGCAACATCTGTTAATAATGTATTAAGACAAAAACTCATTCTTTCAGCAACTGGTATTCCTATAAATAACAGAATAGATAGGCCACATTAAAAAAATATACATCATTTATCAGCCATGAAAAAACATACTCTCTCTAGGAAAGTACTTGATCTCATCCACCCACTGCATTTTCCCTAAACCATTCAACAACTTTAATAAGTAAGGTAGTATGTGATCGACATGCTGAAAGTTTGACTCTAGGAGGTATATTCCCAAAGCTATTATTGAATCTTGGCCTCTTTGATCCATCTTGAATACCCCTTGATGCCCTTCTTGCGGACATAATGAATATAATGTTTGGATCTGTCAAAAATAATAAAATTTTTCCACAGATTAATACATGTCCTTAGAAGATCCAATAGTCTTTCAGTTTTTTTATTTCAAAACATTAAAGCAGAATGAATTTACTTTTTCCCATGGTATTTCCTTTTGAGACGCCAAAGATCGAGCCAAATGCTGGATAGTTTTTTGAAAGAAATTTTTTTCATCTGTAGCCATGGTGTAGAAATGTACACAACACTGGTTTTTAAATTTAAAATAAAACTTGTCTACATCGGTTCGATGTATAATTGTATTAATCAATGAATCAACAGATATCCGTTGACCATAATACTAATGGTAGAGTGTAGACGAATTAATATTTTAATGTATGTAATCATTAAAGTAGACGACCTCGTATTCAAAATGTAAACATGAAATATGAGGCTCCCGAGTGGTCGAGTAATGAGTATTGAGTAATAGCCAATAACTAGGATAGCTTAGCTATGTAGAACTTCTATCGTTTTACATTTTACATTTACAACAATAATTCCATTATCGCTATTCGCAACCAAAAAGTCAATAGAGATTTAAAATGATAATAATTTTCCTTATCATAATCCGAGATAACAACAACAAAACCGTAGAAATTTCGTTTCCCTGCAAAATATACCGACTGTGGACAGGCTGACGAATGATGATTACAATAAACATTGTTAGGTGTTTTTTAATGTAAAATATGTACAATAGACGTTCAGCATTTCTGCATTCCGCCTAACTAGTTATAAATTATAGTTGTTAATTGTTATTAATTATTATAAGTAATTGAATTCCCAAAATATTTGTACCTGTCATTATTAAATGTATCATTTGATTCAACATTAATAATGTTATTATCGGGTTTCTGAAGTTAAACCGTTCATTGTATACAAATATCAAATATTATACACAATGGGTTTCAGCATGAAAACCAAGATTATTCTATTTGCACTTTATTCACTGATATTCGTCACATCCGTTGTGTCGTACTATGGGTTTAAAGGCAGTCAAGATTCAATGCATTACTTGGCAATTCATTCAGGAAACATTAATCTTCAAGTGAAAAATGAAGGTTATCATAGGTAAAAATCTATAATTCAATACCTTATAACTACAATTTCCAATCAAAATATACAGTATGTAATTGTCCTTAAATCCTTTTTCTTTGATCGTTTCTGATTTCAGAGTTCTCCATACGACCATCACTGCCGACTATGAAACATCGAATCGTAAAGACTGTGCAGTTACATTACGTTATGATTTTCCAGCTGATATTTATGTGGACAAATATGAGTTAGCTACAATTGCCTTGAATCGCAAAGTTGGTATTCACCGTGTAATTTCTTGATAGGAAACTAATATTACTTATGTTTGTTTCTTCAGGTTGAATTTTATGTTGACAACAAATTTATCGATGTAGAAACACCGGCTCACAAATCTGATCCATTTGTTCTCTATGTTGTCAATTACACACTTCCAGATACAGCAAACAAATTGACAGAAACAGAATTCCCTATTCATTTAAGATACCAGAAAGCTGCTGAGGATAGTCGTTACAAAGAGGTTCGATTTGGTGATGCGTATTCAGATGTTCAAATGTTATACTTGTGTAAAGGGCCAAGAAATTCTAATTGGAAACAATTTCCACTCAATTCAGGAGAATGGATTCCTGTAAGTATTTAAATAATCTATATTTTGTTTAGGTAAAACATTATGTACATTTCTTTTTTAATTACCTACAATAATACACATTGAGTAAATAGATTAAGGGTAATTAAATCTGAATTTCTAGTAAGTTAGCAACAACAAAATATTAATTGTTTATTTATTAAATAATAATAATTCAAAATAATTTTTAACTCCTTATTCAAATTATATGCATAAAAACCATTATGAGTAAAATACTATATCTTACTAAAGCCTACTATAGGCTTGGTATGGCGTATTGAACCTGCTGATTCCCAATTAGTACTTCTGTTAGACCACCGCTAATTTTTTGATTTTTGATTAGTCGCAAACTCAGTAGATACTAACACACAATAAAACTTGTTCACTAAATTACCTTGTTGGGCTTGATAGGTATTTATTTATTATACTATAACATAATGTAAATATTTATATTATTTTATGTTTTAGGCCAGTTATGTAAAAGTTAACAAAGATGTGGTAATGTATGTACCAGTAGGCGATACCAATAATTTGCCATGGGTGAGTCTCATTACACACGGTTCTGTATTGTTGGGTACATATTACATCCTACGCCGTTTGATGGCTACTCCATCACCAGATAATGCTATCATCAAACTTTCACCTGTTAAGTGTTAAACTTATCATAAATGAATATTGGCTGTAAGCTCATTAGCAAGAAAATATTTAAAGAGACTACTTTTTAAGACTACCTATTTATTGTGTGTTATTTATGTTAAAACTATTTTATGTGTTTTAAATCCTTTCAGATTTATAAAACTGTTATAAATTGATTGCATGCATTACAAATTGTTTAGATTCCTAGCTGTTTTGATTAAATGTTTTATTTTATTTACACGTTCCTTAAAATTCAGAAATAATTAAACAAATAGAATATTATATTATCATAATGTGTTATTATAATAGGTGATTTAAATTTATTCAAAACAAATTTTGTTTGTTAATATATAATTAAACTTTTTTTTTTATATACAATATGTTCCTATGATTTAATTTTGTTCCAACTCAAGTTTATACTAAGTTTTATTGGCTTATTGCCGTTTACTTTAAATAAAACACCTTTGAATTACTCTGTTTTATTTATTTACTTACATAACAGTTGTGAGTTAGTATGCCTGATAATAGTTGCTTAAACTTAATAACGTAAATAGAATAATGATGATAACACAAAAACCAGAAAATGTTTTAGGAGGTTTGTGTTAAATATAGACAACCTGTGCTATACACTCGTATGTAGAACATGTTGAACTAGTGCCAAAATGGATTATTGGCCCCAATTGAGTGTATGTATACTTACCGGTGTTTGAATTGTATATACATTAACACATTGAATATGGACTTGCAAAATGAAGAAAATAGTAAAATGCTAATTAAACAACCAAGTTTGTATAAACTATAAATGTAAACTATTGTCTAAGTGTGTAAACATTTTTTCTCGACTTTTAGAATCAAGGAAGACTGGAAGAACCACCGTCAAATACAAAGGGGATTGGAATAATTTACCAGATTTGTTACTTGAAAATATTTACTCTTTTCTGGACATAGGAGCTAAACATAATGCTTCTAAAACTTGCACATTATGGAATTCAGTTTTTCATTTACCATATTCATGGCATACGTTTGTTTTTGATGACACGACCCTCACAAGGAGAAAGTTTAACTATTATTCAGGTTGGCAGGTAAGCTGTTCAGTACATTAAGCTACTTTTTATATTATATCTGTGATTTGTCAATTTTACTAAACAAAAGTCAATTAAAAGTATATCATAGAGTAAAAGTATTAATGAAAATCTTCATATTTAGATACCTCACAACAGGAACGTTTTAAATATTTTTACATTAGTACATACATTATCACAATTTAAGTTAAGACGTTTATATGATAACAAATAAAAATAAAATAACAATATATTATTCTTATAATAAGTAGTTTGTTCATATTTGTTAGAGTATGAACATAGAATAATTGTGTCCGACTATTTTAATTTTGAATTTATTGCTAGGACCACAATAAAAAAACTTAGTCCTTCCTGTTATTGCTTTGTGACTCTAAAAGCATTTCTTAGTTAATTTGATTAAAAAAAACATAAGCGTTAAAATAAAATAAAATAGCAGGATGCTCTGTATAGTAGATTTTGACTTTTGAATGAACTTTGTCATTGAGTAGGTCACTCTCTAGGTAATAACTGTATTAACTTTGAAGTTAATGATAAATGAATGTATTTAAAAAACAATTCTGAGCAGAGACAATATGTCATTAATGGCATGACTTTAAGGATATTTTATAATTAATTAATAATATCATTAATCATTAGTAATACTGTTGCATGCTAAGTTAAACTATTTTTTTTTTCAAATACATCATATTGTATTAATATTATTAACTCATAAGTCAATAGTGACAGTGGCATAGCCAGTATTAAAAATGGTAGAAGAGGGGGTGGTTAATATAAATTAAATAAAGATTTTTACAGTGTTCGTGTATAAATAAAATAAATAATACATTTATTAGGGAGGAAATTTTAATGGGGGGTTATACACCCAAACCTCCCTCCCTTACTACTCCACTAAATATAAAATAGTATAACAAATTAATAGTATGAATAAGTTTGTAGTATAAATAGCTATTTTCAAAGTGTCATAAAGAGGGTAGGTATTGTGCAAACGGTTGACCCACAAGGCCACAACTCACAAGTGTCATATCATCGGAAAAAAATAAAAGTACTTATCATAAAAAACCTTCATAGAAATAGAAAATAGTAATAGAATGTTTCAAGTTCCTACGATTAATATATTTTGAATTACCAACAGCAAAATAACTAAAATCGTTATGTATTAATATAATTTATAAGGTAGGTATATGAGCATGTGTTTTCGATATTTCTAATGAATTATTGCTGTAAGGAAAACTTATGAGAAAACATGTATTACATTTTCAGACTTTTTTACCAATAAAAAAAACTTTATTAATATTTATGATATACTAGCTAAATCAAATTGTATACATGTATATACGACATTATAAATAAATACATTTCTTGGTCCACTCAGAATCCAAAACTTGAGCTGTCGGTTGTAATTGACCAGAATAGATTAATCCCCAACAAAGTAAAAATTAAATTTGTTTAGTATTCTTTTTTGTAATAATCTTATATAATTATACTACGACTCCATGCATGAAAATGTCCACGGAAAAGCTTAAATATGTACAGATGAATGGGCGATGGGTTTTAGTGGGTTGGTGCATGTGTGTTTATTTATCTTTAACACCGTGCTATCTTAATGTTACGATTGTAATGAAAAAATATATTTCACAAATTATATTTATTTGTATTACTTTTTACAATATTCGTTATACATATAGATGCCAGATGCGTACGTTTACTAAAAGTAACGATATTTTCATGTGTCAATAATGCCCATGCAAGTTGGTCAAGACGCAATAAAAAAATAATAATGATAATAATAATAATAATAATTTATTGTTTTTCAACAACATTATAATTACACGGCGTTATAGATAGGTAATTTGGTACAGCACATTCTAATAGCAACCAACTTTTAAACTCTACCTTTGATCTACCTTTAAAATCAAATAAACAATTTCATTTTATATGGATACGAATTTTCTTTGAACGTACTATAGGTTTGATATAAATATTGAGTTAGATATTCACAGATCGTATTACTTTATCCATATAGAAAGTACAATGAACAGATTTTCAGAAACAAAAACAAAATAAAGTACCTATTTAATTAGGTACACGAAAATCTCGTAATTAATATAAACATTTTATTGAAACCTATACAAACGCGTCTTATATTGTTAAGGCTGTTGATTTGAGGGTCTTTATTTTGTCGCTTTTTCGTACATTTAGACCAGGGATCACCAAATGGCGGCCCGAGGGCCACAGCCGGCCAGTGGATGAACTTTAACCGGCCCGCAGACAAGGAGAAAAGAAGCCGATAATTTCTTATCTTTGTACATTCGTTTTGGCCAACCGGCATATTATAATAAATATTGTGTACATACTTTGCATTTTTATGGCCCTCGAGAATTTCCCGAATTCTTATAATGTGGCCCATGGAAAGTATTAGTTGGTGACCCCTGATTTAAACCAATAAACATCTAAAAAAATATATACTCCCAGGCGACGTCCAATTGTAATTTTGAAAAAATATTTTGCAAAATTAAAATCGGGATTTTGGTACTGGGCGAATTTTTATTCCAGTTTTTGGAACTTTCGTGTTGAAACTTATTTTATTCACAAAATACAGTGACATGTGACTACTGCGAGTATATATATTACAGATTTCCAAGGATTGTAGACGTAGTTTATCTTTAATTACTTAAAGTTTCCTCGTTCGCGGGGAACTCATGCACGCTAATTATCAGTCACTTCATAGTTCATAGGTATACACACAATCACTCACGATGGATGGAAAATATTGCTTAAATCCGACCCCTTATAAATGGTTCTCTTTCAACAGCCTTAACTGTACATGTTATTATTCTTAAAATATACCCAAACCGTTGTTATATTATTGTTGCTTTTATGATTCAGTACATGTTAGATCATCTACGTGTGCAATTGTGCCTCCAGTCCATTGGCCGCTACGTCAAAGTTCTGGTGTTCAAGCCGATTACCAATTTTTATAACCTGTACGAGTTCATGAACATGATATCGTTCTACGCGGAACATGGCCAGGGAGTAGGATCGAGAATAAACACCTTACAGTACACATTCCCGTGCAATATGGCAACTTCACGTATCGACGAATCTGTTTTGTACGGTACAGGAGGTTTGTATTCGCTGTAAAGAACCTATAGAGGTTTTTGTGTAAAAAATATATATAGAGTGCCCCGTGAGGATATATACCCATTAGCTAGTAGACGGGGACTCACCGCCCGAACTAAAAAAAAATGATTAAAATTCATGAAAATAATGAAAATAAAATGTTCAGAAAAATTAACTCTACAAAACAGATATCTTCAATTGTTTCAAAAATTAAAAATTAAATTAAAATATGTAGGACGTAGGTAGTCCATGCTTCCGTGGTCAAATAAAAAAAAATATTTATGATATATATATTATCTAAGGATATATTGCAATGGGTAAATCCTCGCGGGACACTCAGTATAAACTAGCAAATCCTGTGCACTTCGTTGCCCGTGAAACATTTTCAAAATGTGTGTTAAATTCATCATTTAATCTCCATTAAGGGTGATATCTCCGAAAACGATTTGAAGTTTCAAAATCGGTTAAGTGGTTTTTGAGAACTTAAAGTTTATTGGCTACAAACATATATTCAACTCTCATACTTCTTATAATAATTTCTTTATTCGAATTTCGAAGCCATAAACCCGAAGATTTAATGCGTGCCTTATTGCCTTTATCTCATTTTCCCGAGTTTCCATAATGGCAATAAATACTAATTTCTCTTATAACTATTATATTATTATAATGTGTCAGCTGTAACCAATAACAACCGTACACAAACAATAATAATTTTCATCGTAAATCTCAAAATCGCTTCTAAAAATGTTCGGTCAAAAAATTAAGGGCCACTTATCGAGATAACAACCATCCTATATTTTAAGTCGCACCAAATCACACTCATTGAGCATGATCTTATCAAAATCGGTTGAGTAGTTTT